TATTTTGTGAATAACCCAAAAACACACCTTCATCACTTCTAGAGTCAAATTTTCCCAAGTGTTCCCTATCTCTAAGGATATAACATTTACTTCCAAAGACTCTAAAGTATTTAACAGTGGGCTTTCTATCATACCATAATTCATATGAAGTCTTATTAGTTCCAGGCCTAAGATAAACTCTATTTAGGATATGATAAGCAGTACGTACCGATTCAGCCCAAAAGTGACTAGCAATCTTATTCTCTTGAAGCATAGTACGAGCCATACCTGCAATTGTCCTATTTTTTCTTTCCACTACACCATTCTGTTGTGGTGTTTTAGATGCTGTAAATTCATGCTTAATGCCATTCTTATCACAATATTCAATAAACTCCTTAGGTTCGAATTCACCTCCATTATCACTTCTAATCCGATTAATTCGATATCCCTTCTCATTTTGAATAAGTTGGCAAATAGACCTGAAATTCACAAAAGTATCATATTTTTCTCTCAAATATGCAACAAAAGTAAACCTAGAAAAATCATCAACCATAACAAGCAAATATCTTTTTCCTCCAATGCTATCAGGTGTTATGCGACCCATCAAATCCATATGAATCAGCTCTAAAGGTCGAGAAGTGACTTTATGAATAAGTATCTTATGTGACACTCTAGTTTATTAATTTTAAGTTCCAGTGATTTATTAAACAAATTTACCTTCTTAAGTTCCTTTTCCAAAAAATCAATCTTATGAAGATAATTCAAATTCTTAAGGCCAATTTCTTCCAAATTCTTATTAGAGATAGAAACTTTTAACTTATAAATATCTCTATCAAGTTCAGCAAGATTCAATTTCTCTAACAAATTTTCAAAATCCTTTTTAAATTTTGACCATTCATTTTGCATGCTTGTGATAAAATAAAAAACAGAAGATAAAGGCAACACATCAACAACAGATGAATTTTCAGACATGATAAAAAAAAATAAAAAATAAAAAATAAAAAAATAAATAAAAAAATCAACAAATATAATCTACTCTGTATATCGAGTATCCCGCCCTGATACCAAATTGTGAAACAAGAGTTACGCGGGGTGTGGAAACAGTTGATTTTAATTGTGATTAACTCCTTTAATGACCTAGATCTGATTATTAGGTCAACTTGCTTAATTTATGATTGATTAAATTACATGATTAATTAAACATCCACAATCATAAATATAAATACTGAAAAGTAAAGCAAGTTAAGTTTAGAGAGATTGCACCAGGATTTTTGGTGAGGAAACCCCATTTGATAAAATACGTCAACTGTTATGGGAAAAACCTCGTGGACCATGCAGTCCAAAGTAAACTAATCCACTATGTTTGAAACAAAGTATACCGAACTTTGACTCTGGCTCACACCCTATCGTTCTACACCACACCAACCGCTGACGATCCTCTGGCTTTGCGACTCCCCATCCAACAGCAACTTGATCTCAGGCTTACACTTAATATTCGTAGAAGAGTAGCAGGTAGATCAGACAGCACTCCATGAATGCTCCAACCCTTTCAAAGTGTGATAGCGCTTACTTTTATTCTTCAAGATCTGAACTCGATTGTAGAAGAATTAAATCCTGTTTCTCATCTGGAATATCTGAATCTTCAGTGTAGCTCCGATTCCGATGAGATAGAAAATAACACCACTAAATCACTCATGAATATATGTGTATGCTCTCATAAATAAATTCAGAATAATCAGATTTGATTTTCTGAATTTTCTCTCTCTAGAAGGCTTTCTCAAAATATAGAATTGATTTTCCCTCAAGCCCCCTTATTAACCAATGTATATGACAAAGTTTATATAGAGTTTTGAAAGTCCTAATCCCTCAGAAAATATGATAAATTTCGTGCATAGGACTTAGAAGGAAGCTGGGATCAAAAAGGAAACATCAGAAGAAAGAAACTGGAAACTTGATGCATCTAGGACTTCTTGAACCGGTTCAGCCATCTTGAATAGGTTTAAGATGGACAGTAAGGAATCCCATGGATTCTTGAACCAGTTCAGCCCTCTTGAACCGGTTCAAGATGGACAGTCTTGAAATTTTAGCGTTCTGGTGATGCTGAACCTGTTCGATGGATCTTGAACCAGTTCAAGATGGATAGAATATAAAAACTTGTTCCAAACCTTTCTAAACCCTTCTTACATGTTCTCATTACCTCTCAAAACATCTTATAGCATTGTTCTCATCATCTTGGAGTGTAGTATATTTTGAACACTTAACATTTTTCAAATCCGCATCCGATCTTCGATCTTCGATATTTTTACATCAAAAATTACAACTCGATCGGACTTGTTTTGACAACGAAATTAGCCAATTATAAAAATATATCTCACAATAATTACTTTGACAGAGTCATATATGAGAGGCAAGTTAGTAAGAATTTCAGAGAAAATTAACAGAAATTTTAATGAGCAATGCATACATGTTTGCACTCTTTTTCTTGTATGCTTCTTACGATCGAAGTATAAACATATACGTTATTGTGTGGGTTTACACTGTCACTTCCCTCTCTTTTCCAACCATTATACTGGTTTTTGTGTCTTGGAACTGTCCAAAATTTTGAGCCAGGTTTTAAAAAGGTTTCATTTGGTGAATCGTGTTTAGTTTGTGTAATTTCAATTCATTTTCGGAGAAATATAATGTTGCTTTTCAAGAACTAGAAAGAAAAGTATGCAAATCTAACGGTGGAGACTAGTCTTACCATTAGATTGGATGGTGAGAGAAATGTGGAATTGAAATTGTTGGAACATATATGGTACATCGGTCAATTAATTAAGTTAAAGAAGACCCAAATGCCACATGTCTGTACATAGCCCAACCAATCAACCAAATCAAAAGAGATCAAATTTGGGGAATGGGATCCTCTGCTGTAAATGGGTCGTGCTGTACCTGTGCTGTAGTGAAAAAAAGAAATTGTTTTAAATTGGTAACTTCAGAGTCCAACGGAAAAAGGAACGACGTTAAAAAAAATTAAAAAAATTAAAAAATAAAAAATAAAAAAGGAAAATAAAATATCCTCTTCTGCTTCTCCCTACCAAAAAAAAAAAAAAAAAAAAAAAAAGAAAAACAAAACAAAACAAAAAAAGGAAAACAAAATATCGTCTTCTACTTCAGCACGTTCCTCCCTCGTCACCGTACGCCATCTCCCTCTTTCGTCACAGTGTACCTCAAAATAGCATAGTTGTACTGGATTGTTCAGGTGTCAACTCGTCGCTGTCTCACGGCTATATTTTCAGGTGCTCACCATTTCTCTCTCTTTCCTCTTCATAAACCCTAAATCTCTCTCTCTAAAAATCACACTGATTTCTGCATAGTATATCAGACTATATGCGAGTGAGATGGAATCTTCTTCTCCATCAATTTCCATACTAACTACTGCACACAAACTATATTGATATTTGTCGTTGGTGCAACTACATAAATTCCAATAAGGTAGGCGGCTAACAGTTCTACAGTATAGTTGGAAAGTAGTCCAGAAAGAAAGATTCCACTTCTGGCGTAAGTGGTGAAGGCTTCTCCTTCGTTGTAGTACAAAATGTTGATTCGGCTTCCATGGGTTGCATTTATGTTTGCAATCCAAAATTAGTTAAGCACTTAACCTAAATGCCTTTTTGAAACAACAATTTCCCAGGAAATTGGCCAATATAATTTATTAACAAAATCTAAATAAGGTACACGGTAGGGACTTAACTGTTTTATTTTATAATTTATTTTTCATATTGAGGTTTATTAATTTTTCCAACGTTGTCTTAACTGTTTTTGGATGGCTTGCTTTGCTGTACAAATTTTAATGATAATTCTAATATCAGTGATTCAGTGACGAGTATCATATAGAATCAGTAATTAACTTTGGAACTTCAATTGGAAAAGTGAAGTTTCATGAATCGCGAAATAACAAGCTTTGGTGTTTTACACATGTTGAAACTTCCAGTGTTCGGGATGGGATAGATACAAGAGTTTTAAGGATGCAATAAGTAAGGAGATTAAGGATGTTCTCATTCTTTTCGGAAATTACTTGTACCGTGTGGTCTTGATAGACTTTGTTCGAGGTCTAATGTCAAAAGGTACCATCTCTATGAGAAGTAAATTGATGAAAAATATATTTACTTCTATTATTTGGTGTGTTTGGAATGAAAGAAATAGGAGATTTCATGGTGGTACAATTCATTCCCCTCATCAGCTGGCCACAGAGGCCTGTTTTGAAGCCCTGGACTAATGTTGCTTTTTGTGATCTCTGGTTCGATCACTTCTCCCTGTACTTTAATGTTTATTTGTATTAATGAAATCCATGGAAATATATATGTGTGTGTGTGTGTGTGTGTGTGTGTGTGTGCGTGCGCACAGATTGTACATGGCAAGGGTTTTTTTTTTTTTGTACTTTCCCTTTGTTTATTTGACACAGTATGTTAAAATGCTTTTTTTTTTCTTTTAATTTCCTTGTATTATTTGATGTACTAAAGGTACAATTTCAATTTTTCTTTTCATTTAGTCCTCAACGAATCATTTTGGAAATCTCTAAACTATAAGGGATGAAGATGACCGGGATTGACCATCTTTTGCATAATCGATTTATTTGTTTATTTATCGATTTGTTTGGTGATTTTAATTTGATGGTGTAAATGACAAAATTGTTGATTTGTTGTTTTCTAATTCTTTATAGCAAAAGACTCTTTTTTTCCTATTCTTTAAGGTTGTATCTCCTTTTCTAATCATATTTTTGTAACAAATTTGCTGATTTTTTATTTTGTTATATTACTTTGAGCTATATGGAATAAAGTTTGTTCGCATGAATCAGTTTTTTTTGGAAACAATACTCGTCATTTTATTAATATTTTTAGTACTTCTCAACTCCCCTCCCCCATCTCTTGGTTCTTGGGGTTTTTCTTTTCTTTTTTACTTATCTCTTTATTGTTATTACCTTTTTGTGAGGATGCATTCTCTAAGACACTTTGTTATCTTATTATAGGTGGTGGTTTTAAATGGATACTCCATTAGGTGAAGGAGGCCATAAACCCAAAATTGGAATGATATTCAAGTCCTTTGAAAATGCATACAACTTTTACAATGCTTACGGACGTGAAGTTGGATTTAGTGTGAGAATAGATTATTCCAATAAAAACACTAAAACTGGAGAAATTACTTCTACCCAATTTGTATGTTGCAACGAGGGTTACAGAGTAAATGACAAAAGGGACCATCTTACAAAAGAAGCTAGGGCAGAAATAAGGGTCGGATGTAATGCATTCATGCATATAAAATTTGAAAGAGGGGAAGGAACATATTTCATAGACAGATTTGAAGAGAAGCACAACCATAAACTTATTAGAAAAGATTGTACTTATTTGATGCCTTCACAACGGAACATCTCTATACCTTAAGCAATTGACGTCGACTTGGCTGATGATTCTGGACTACCAGTTGGTTCTTCATATGAACTAATGGGACGACAATCTGGTGCAAGAGAAGCGCTTGGGTTTACAAAAGTAGACCAAAAAAATTATTTGAGAACCAAGAGACAAAAACAATTACAATCTGGAGAGGCTGGATTCATATTTGAGTATTTTCAATCACAGATGTTGGAAAATCCCTCATTTTTTCATGCTGTTCAGTTGGACAAAGATGACTATATAACCAATATATTTTGGGCTGATGCAAGGATGATTATTGACTATGGTCATTTTGGAGATATTGTGTCGTTCGACACAACATACAAGGTGAATAACGTGAATCGACCATTTGCCGCTTTTGTTGGTCTGAATCATCACAGAGAAACAGTTATATTTTGAGGTGCTTTAATGTATGATGAGACATCTGATTCATTTGTATGGTTGTTTGAACCATTTTGTAAGGCGATGTCTCATAAATTTCTGAAGACAATTATAAGTGACTAAGATGCGGCTATTACAAAGGCATTAGCATTGGTGATGCCCGAGACATACCACAATCTTTGTATATGGCATATTATGCAAAATGGTGTGAAGCATTTAGGTAATGTTATCAAGGGTCCAGTGGGTATAATAGGCATTTTATCTGAGTTTATGAAAAAAACATGAGGATGAAGATGATTTTGAAATATGTTGGGACTCCATGCTAACCGAGTATGGTGTTTGTAACAACAAATGGTTGTCTGAAACGTATAATTTAAGGACCAAATGGGCAAAGGTATTTGTGAAAAATCACTGGTGTGCTGGTATGCATAGCACTCAACTTAGTGAAAGCTTCAATTTCGGATTGAAAAAATTCGCTAAATTTGACCATAATATTCCTGATTTTTTCAAACATTTTGATAGGATAATCACTGAAAAAAGGTATATTGAGCTAAAGGCGGAGTACGATTTGACTCACTAAGAGCCGAATGTTAAACTTCCGTGCATAATGGTAGTCAAAGCTGGTGAGATTTACACGAAAAAAATATTTCAGTTATTTCAAAAAGAAATTCAAGGTACAGTTGAATTTTATTTCAAAGAATCAATTCAGCAGGATGGAGAAGTTATATACAAAGTGGTCTCGCTAGAAAAACATAATCAAGAATGGCGTGTAAGAAGGAAAACAGATGACTTTTTAATATGCAGTTGTTGGATGTTCGAAATGGATGGTATTCCGTGTTCACACATGTTAAAGGTCATAAGAGAAGTGTTACACAAAACTGAATTACCTAAGGAATACGTACTGAAACGGTGGACTCGAGAGGCAAGAGATGGGGCAGTGTTGGATTTCATTGGCCGTGAAGTGCAAACGGATCCTAAATTGCAACAACAACAAAGATATAGAGACATGTGTTATTTATTCACTCGCGTTAGTTCATTTGCATCAGAGGGTGAAGATTTTTTTTACTTTATCCATTATCCATGGGGAACATTTGCTTAAGCTTCTTGAATAAATGAGAAGGCAAAAACGGGTGCAACATAATGATGAATACTCATCCAAGGCTAGCAATGGGCATCAAATTCATGTCACTTACGAGCAAAGTGGCCATGACATTGCTGTACATGGTTTAAAAAAATGGGACACATCAAGAGGGAAAAAAAAGACTCAAATCAGCATTTGAAATTGCTACAAAAAAGGGAAAGAAATCTTTGAAACAACCTGTTCAATCATACGTGAAGCATAAGGTGAGTAGCACTCTAATATATTACAAATGTTTAAAACATACCGGTTTGACTACCATTGGATTTTCATTTTAATTTTTATTCTTTTTAGGGTGCTGAAATTCCAAGCGAGTATGCATAGATGTCCATACCACCCAGTCCACCCCCAAGCCCTAACTTGCAAAGGAGTTACGACTACCAAAGGCTTCAATTTCTTAATCGGTGTGATAAAGATAGTGTAACAAGCGCAGAAATATTGAACTGCAATTTGTCACAACCGAACACAGAAGTGAATATTACTTCTCAATCATCCTATTTTCCATTTCTCAAGCAGGTTATTACCTATTTCATATAATGTTATATTGTAATTTTTTTTTTATTTGTTTAAACAGTTATGACAATTATTTATACAACACTCTTGTGGTTAGGTTAATGAGAGAACCGATCATGCTAAAGATACAACATCAGAAAATCTAAGCGGTGATTGGGTAAGCCTATCATTTTATTTATTTATTTTTAAAAATCATAATTGGTTATTTATTGATGGTAATACATATTTTATTTTTATTTCCTGTATTTTTTTTAAATGCAGCCCTTTGATCTAAACTCTTGAAGTTGTAGTTGAGAAGACATATATGGCGTTGTTTTGTATCCGCCAGGCCTTTATTCACCCCCCATAATTTTGTAGATGAAGTAGATGGTACTGGAAATAATTAGCTTGATTGAAGATGGTTGATTTTACTTTACTTCCCTTGGGAATACTTGCCTAGTTGAGTTCCATTATTTGGTTCTTATGAATTCAGGAGATTGTTAATGCTTCTATTCATGGCCCTTTTATCTATGATAACTTGTTTGTCGTTGTAACATTGTGTTCTCTACTTATGGTTTTCCTTCCTGACTTGATGTTTTGATTTTGAGAGTTAAATTTTGTCTTTCTAAATTTACTATTTTTTTGTAGTCTGTGTTTTGAATTTAGTACAATCTCTGCATTAGTTTGGGTAAATGAATAAGATACTGGCAGGAGGGTTTGTTCGTTTGATTATTGAATTTGTTTTTAATGTACTTATAATTGATGTTTGCAGCATGTACTAAATTGGGTAAATGAAAAAGATAATAGCATTGTGTACGAAGTGAATGTCAAATTTTCAGATGGATTGCTTTGGCACTTTTAGTTTCTTCAAAAACATGGGACTGCATGCATGGTTTGGATTTTCTAATAATAGCTTCTTGTTCTCAAAAAGCAAATAAAAAAAGTCTTTTGAAAACAGAGTTGAACAAGGGATGATTTCGTTGAACAGTTTTGATAGTTTACTAGTTTTAGAATTCTTGAAAGAAGTGGAAAAGTTTCTTAGACTTAGTTGCCATGGGTGATTGATCTTTCACGATGCCATCAGATACCAACTATTCAGATCAAAAATCAATATTGGCAGTTACTTGGGAGATCATTGACCTCTTGATTCACGTTTTCTTATGTAACTATTCTCCTTTCATGGAGGATACAGTGTTTGGTGCATTGTCATTTTCATTTTACAATTTTTGAACATGATAAAAAGATTAAAAAGTGGCACCTTTAATTTTAAGAACAACATTTTTTTAATCTTTTTTCTCAACACCTTTAATCTTGTTTTCAACACCATTTAATCTTATTTTCAATACTTTTTAATCTTCTTTTCAACACTTTTTAATCTTATTCTCAACACCTTTTAATATCTAGCTCAACATCTTTTAATCTTATTCTCAACACCTTTTACACTTTTTTCTCAACACCTTTAATCTTGTTCTGAACAATTTTTCATCTTTTTTCTCAACACCTTTAATCATGTTCTCAACACCATTTAATCTTGTTTTTAACACCTTTAATCTATAGCTCAACACCTTTTTAATCTTTTTTTCTCAACACCTTTAATAATAATATTTTTCTCAACACCATAAATCTTGTTCTCAACACTTTTTGATCTTATTCTGAACACCATTTAATCTTATTCTCAACACCTTTTAATCTTGTTGTCAACACCTTAAATTTTTTTGTCAACACCTTTAATCTTATTCTCAACACCATTAATCTTGTTCTCAACATTTTTTAATCTTTTTTGTCAACACCTTTAATCTTGTAACGCTGTTCTTAGTCCCAACTAAAATGGTGGAAGGTAATCTAAAGAAAGAGGGTACCAAGAATAGCTATCAAATTAGCTCTAAAGCATACTGAAACATACATGTATCATATTCCATATTGAAAGATAAAGAAATCTGTGATGATGTTGAATATAAGGAGAAGAAAAAAATTATAGAAAAAGTATATACAAGGGAGACCATTTAATCTGTGATGATGTTTAATCTTTTTTCTCAACATCTTTAATCTTCTTTTCAACACTTTTTAATCTTATTCTCAACACTTTTTAATCTTGTTTTCAACACTTTTTAATCTCTAACTCAACACCTTTTAATCTTATTCTCAACACTTTTAATATTCTTCTCAACACTTTTTAATCTTGTTCTCAACAACTTTTAATCTTATTCTCAACACTTTTTAATCCTGTTCTCAACACTTTTTAATCTTATTCTCAACACGTTTTAATCTTTCTCTCTACACCTTAAATCTTGTTCTCAACACTTTTTAATGTTGTTCTCAACACCTCAAATCTTATTCTCAACACTTTTAATCTTCTTCTCAACACTTTTTAATATTATTCTCAACACTTTCAATCTTCTTCTCAACACTTTTTAATATTACTCTTAACACTTTTTAATTTTGTTATCAAGGATTTTTTAATCTATACCTCAACACCTTAAATCATTTTTCTCAATACTTTTTAATCTATAGTTCAACATCTTTTAATCTTATTCAACACCTTCTAATCTTGTTATCAACACTTTTTAATCTCCAACTCAACACATTTTAATCTTGTTATCAACACTTTTTAATCTCTAACTCAACACCTTTTAATTTTATTCTCAACACCTTAAATCTTCTTCTCAACACTTTTAATCTTATTCTCAACACTTTTAATCTTGTTCTCAACACTTTTTAATCTTGTTCTCAACAACTTTTAATCTTGTTCTCAACACTTTTTAATCTTATTCTCAACAACTTTTAGTCTTATTCTTAACACCTTAAATATTGTTCTTAATACTTTTTAATCTTGCTTTCAACACTTTTTAATCTCTAACTCAACACCTTTTAATATTATTCTTAACACCTTTTAATCTTGTTATCAATACCTTAAATCTTATTCTCAACACTTTTAATATTGTTCTCAACAACTTTTAATCTTATTCTCAACACCTCAAATCTTATTCTCAACACTTTTAATTTTCTTCTCAATACTTTTTAATATTTTTCTCAACACTTTTTAATCTTATTCTCAACAACTTTTTAATCTTATTCTCAACACCTTAAATCTTATTCTCAACACTTGTAATCTTCTTCTCAATACTTTTTAATCTTATTCTCAACACCTTTAATCTTATCCTCAACAATTTTTAATCTCTAACTCAATACTTTTTAATCTCTAGCTCAACACTTTTTTATCTTGTTCTCAACACCTTTTAATCTTATTCTCAACACTTTTTAATCTTATTCTCAACACCTTAAATCTTGTTCTCAACACTTTTTAATCTCTAACCAACACTTTTAATCTTATTCTCAACACCTTAAATCTTATTCTTAACACTTCAAATCTTCTTCTAAGCACTTTTTA